CTATTCATGTCTCAGGCTCTGAGGTCAATTATTCTCTTCCTTTAAACAACTTCCTGTTTTGCTCTAAAGTGTCGTTTATCACACTGGACTCTTTGCACTATTTTTGCTCTGCTTTTCTTCTCACAGCAAAATCATTGCACCTGAACAAGAAACTGATTTTTTTTTAAATCTTGTTTTCTCACAGAATCAATGACATAAGAGGATTAATTGTTTGTTTTCAATCCTGACTTTTTCTCCTCCTAGATCTATTTTTGAACCAAATTTTATTTTGGGATGTCCTGACTGGGATGATACTAAATTGGAAAGCCTGGTGCAAATTTTATTGACCTCCATTTCCTACTATAAAGGATGTCCCCCACTAATCTGTCATCTACAGGGCAGACAAAGGCCAGCGGCTAGGGAAGCCAAGCCAGATGGTATGTTCAAGAAGCCCAAGACCAGACTCTATGTTTTGTTGGTTTGTTTTTAAATAAATGGTCAACCAGGAAGGAAAAAACATTTGAGCATCCTTCTTATTCCAAGCTGAGCTAAACTAAATCTTAATTGTAATATGCACGGCAAACACAATGTCTGAGAATAGGTACTTATTAAATGTTGCTTGGATATGACTGAATGGATGAAATGATGGATAGATGGGTCGTTAGATGAGTGGATGAATAAATGAATGAATGAATTAATATTATTGATGGTTTTTAAGTTAAACAATGCAGAAAAACTCAAAGAGAAAAGTTACCACTTAGAAAACTATATAAATTACAAAGTGAATCTCCCCTCTTCTACTTTTCAGAGAAAAACAATGTTAACAGTTTTGTCAATATTCGTCCCTATTTTGTCATATTATATTATTTATTTATCATCTATCTATCTATGTCATTAATCTTTAAAGTCAATTTTAATTTTTTCCCCAAATTATAGTTGTGTTGTCCATAGTGACTTACACCTATTTTTTCCACTTATACATCAAGGACAACTGTTCATGTCCCTGTAGCAATCTATTTTGTTCTCTTTTAATGACTACATGATATTCTCTTGTATAGATACACCATACATGATTCAGTCAGACTCCTATTGAAAATTAAATTGTCTTCAATTTTTATGCCATTACCAACAATACTGCAACATATTTCCTTGTGCATATGTAACTGACCAGCTGTATCTTTGAATTTTTAATATCCTTTGCTATGTTCTCTATTGGTTTGTTTGTTATTTTTTCTTTATAGAAACTCTGCACATTAGGAATTTTAACATTTTGCCATTTATATGTGTGGCAAATATCTTCTCTTAATCTGTCACTTGCCTTTTGTTTTTGGCATCTTTCACTGTTTAAAGTCTTTAAACTTTATTGTAGTCAAATCTATTTTTCCTTTTATTGCTTTTTCTTTTCTAGACAATTATATGAAATCCTCTCCAACCTTGATTTTATAAAACTGTCTATCTGTATTTGACCATAATACCTACTGAAGGAGAGATTTAATGCTGACTGAATTTCCATGTTCTCTACCACATTTTCCAGCCTCTTTCGGAAATAGGTTATAAGTATATGATGAGTTCTAGCCAATAGGATGTGGACAGAAGTGACACATACAATCTATGTCATTTCTACCCGTGACCACGAATACTCCTGTGTGACCCTCCAGCTCTCTCTTCCCCTTCAGTAGCACACCACAAAACCAAATATTCCAAATTGCGTAGGAACAAGGTAGAAGCAGCCTCAATACCTGAATCACCACCTGGAAAGAGCCACCCTGGAGAGTCTCCATACTCACTTCAGACTTTGCATAATCAAGATGCTTTCCTATGTTAAGCCACTGTGATCCTACGATATTTTTCTATTAAACATAGTTACCCTAAATAACAATACAGTATAGTTTTTTTCCCTACATTTAGGTGCTCAATTCATCTACAATTTTTATAACAGTGTGCAATATGTGAGTAACTTTGTTTTCTTCATCATACCTTTATCATCATAATATTAAACCCACATATACACATATGTCTGTTTCTGCATTGTCCATAATGTACCACTGATCTGTTTATCTATTTTTGTACCATAACCCAACTATTTTGATTTAAATAACTATATATTTTAGTATCTTAAAGAGCAAATTCTCCTTCATAATTATTCTTTTTCAAATTCTTACTTTTTTCTTCCAAATAAATTATAGAATCAACTTATTTCCCAAAACAATACCTTGGGATACTAACCTGATTTGCCTTAAAGTTGTACATTAATCTGAGAAGCAGCAGCATCTATGTGTGATTTAGTCTTTCCATGAGGAAGTATGACATGTCCATTTATTTTAGTCTTATTTTATATTTTTAATAAAAATATATAATTCTCTTAAGTAATTCTTAGATGTTTCAGAGACTAATTTTGACACATCTTAAATACAATTTTTCTCATTTCACTTTCTAATGGTTCAATGCTAATAAAAAGGAAAGTAATACTTATTTTTGTGTTTTTTCTTACACATAGCCACCTTATTAATTCTCTTGATAGTTTAACAATTTCGTTGAATTTACTGAATTTTAGGAATATTGTCATGTCATCTGCAACTAATAACTGTTTCTTTCTTTCTAAGGTAATTTTCTTTGATTCTATTTTACTTTAAGCTTTTCTTTAAAAAAGGAGTTAGAATTGCTTCGAAAATGTAATAATTTGCTTTCCTTGCCTTCTGTTGATATAATTTTTCTCTTTAAGTTTTTTAATATAATAAGGTTGATACATTTTCTAATGATGAGCCATTTATGTTTCTTTCATAAACTGTACCTAGTTTTACAGTATTTAAATAGCCACGTTTTAACTGGAATAGTATAAAAATTTAACTCTGAGCAACTAGAAACGACTCTAAGTCAGGAATTGAGGAATGATTTAATAAATTAATGGGATAGCAACATTATGAAATATTATGTGTCCATTAAAAAAGACTTTAATGATCTAGTCAATTCCAACTCCTACAGACCCCGTGCACAGTAGAGCAGAACCTGCCCACTGTTTTGCGCCATCCTCTCTCCTTCCAGCGCTGTATCAGACAATGCTCCACTGCTATTCATAGGTTTTCATGCCCAATTTATTCGTAAGTGGGTGGCCAGGTCCTTCTTCCTAGTCTGTCTAGTCTGGAAGCTCTGCTGAAACCTGTCCACCGTGGGTGACGCTTCTCGTATTTGAAACACTGGTAGCATAGCTTTCAGTGTCACAGCAACATGCAGCCACGACAGTATGACAACCGACATACTGTGTGGTTCCCTGACTAGAAATGAACCCAGGCCACAGCAGTGAGAGTGCCAAATCTTAACCACTAGACCGGCAACTAAAAAAGATACTCACCATAAGGATAAGGTACACACCTAATTCTGAGTGAAAAGTTTAAATATTTTATTAGATTTCATGTTGTATGTAACCTAAGAGCTCAAGAATAATGAAATTTTCTTCTCTCAAATATAGATAATAATGCTGATCATATCGAAAGTGCCACTTCTGAACAGTCCTATCGTAACCCAACATACAATTTGGAAGAATGATTCTGCTTTTATGTCAGAAAAAAGGTTGTTGTCAATTGTTACAATTTCTAAAATACTCATAATATACAAAAAGCATACAAAATCCATAAAATATCATATGATAGGAAGATTCACTATATATTTCCTTAGTTGTTTATCAGTATTTTATATGTATCACTTTTTTCTCCCCACCTAAACTTTCAACTGTGTATTAGCATCTTATTATTCCTCACATCATTATAGTTGTGAGGATATAGTAAGCATTCAATAAATATGTATGAATTCATTGAAGTCATCCCTCCTTTCTAAGAACATAAATTGTTAACAAAAAATAACTGTCAACTATTTATTATTACATTCGTTTTCTATTCAGTAATGTATCTAATTCATACAATGTATTCATTCAGGCTCTCATGTGCCAGCATCTATTTAGGGATAGGCTTACCCACCTGTAGAACTTTGGGTAGGTAAGTAATAATAAAGGGAAAATTAAACAACGGATCTTTTCCTTGATCTTGTGCATTATGTCGCATGCCTGGTGTGTGAGGCTCTCTGTCATAGGACCTCATATAATCCCCATCCCAGCCTGAAAGATGACTACCACAGTCCCTTTATAAGTGGCACTCCCCAGGTACCTGGCTTTGAGCTAAGCATTTTCACACATAATTTTAAGAACATCACCTTCAGAAGATTCTTCTTCTATGTGACTCCAAAGTCCACACTCATTCCATTTTCCACAGTGCCCCCTCAGGACCCTAGATAGTGACGACAGAGCTGAGGGATAACCCCAAGTCCATCTTTCGACCACCCTGGGCTTCATTCCCACAGTCAGAGCATGGCAATGGGGAACACAGGAGCGGGCACTGGGCTCAACTTCTGAACTCCAACCAGGAGGGAACTGGGCAGATCCGTCCACCCCCACATCAGGCCTAGGTTTCAGAAGTATCCCTGTAACTGAGCCTGTGAGAGCAAGACTGGACATCTATCTGTGGAGCAAATTGAAGGCCTGAGGGCCAAATGAGGCTTGCAAACTCATTTTATTTGGTCAGTGCTTTCAAAACCTGAGCTTGGAGGTTCCAATTTCCAGTTTCTGGTTCTGCACATAAGGAGCTTGGAAGTCGCCACTCTGTGCAAACAACAAGTAAAAAGCTGAACAGACTGAAAAACAAACAATGCTTCTTGGAAACTCCATAGCCATTAAGCACTAACTTCCCATTGCCCTCATTCCCCGCCCCTGGCCACCATTCTACTTTCTGTCTCATGATTTTGACTACTCTAGGTACCTCATATAAGCGGAATTATTTGGCATTTGGTTTTTTTGTAACTGGTTTATTTCACTTAACATAATGCTCTCAAAGTTTATCCAGGTTGTGTCAGAATTTCCCTCCTTTTAAAGGCTGAATAATATTCCATTGTATGTTTCTACAACATTTTGTTTATTTACTCATCTGTTGATGGACGCTTCAGTTGCTTCCACCCAGTCTCTCCCTTTTACTTACTTCTGACAACACAGTTCCTTCTGTGCTCCTTCTGACCAAGTTCTTGTTGGGGTAACATGTTCAAGAATCCTTAGGGGATGGTTCTCCCTCTTAATCCTATAGGAACCAAGAAGGAAATGGAACTGAGTAAAGCCAATAGAGGACTGCCTGAACAGAAAAGAGCAGATCTTTCTAAGGGGGGCACTTACTACTCAGCTAAGCTGATGTAGCTATGACCGAGGCTGGCCCCACACTATCAGACTTTTCCAGTTTAGGAAGCGAAACTGAAAATCTGAATATTTATTTGAAATCCTTGGAGTTTTAAAAGGTAACTCAGGTGTTTTTCTTAAGACTTTAATTTTTTAGAGCAATTTTATGTTCACAGCAAAGTTGAAAGGGAGGTACAGCGATTTCCCATGTGCACCCTGCTGGCACACATGCATAGCCTCCTCTGTTATCAACAACTGCCCCCAGAGTGGTACATTTGTTACAAAAGATGAACCTACATTGACTTCTCATAATCGCCCAAAGTCCATAGTTTACGTTAGGAGTCACTCTTGGTGTTGCACATTCTATGGGTTTCGACAAATGTGTAATGGCATGTATCCATCACTGTGGCATCTACAGAGTATTTCACTGCCCTAAGAATATTCTGTGTTCTGCCTGTTCACCTATCCCCACAACCCGCTCTGCCCTACTAAAACCCTGGCAACCGCGGATCTTTTTCACTGTCCATATAATTGTCTTTTCCAGAGTGTCATATAGTTGGAATCATATAGTTTGTAGCCTTTTTACATTAGTTTCTTTCACTTAGTAATATGCATTTAAGGTTCCTCCATGTCTTTTCATAGCTTAATGGCTCAATTTTTTTTAGTGCTGAATAATATTCCATTGTCTGCATGTACCACAGTTTATTTATCTAGTCATTTATTAAGGGACATCTTGCTTGCTTCCAAGTTTTGGCAATTATGAATAAAGCTCCTATAAACACCCACTTGCAGGTTTTTGTGTGGACACATCTTTTCACCTCCTTTGGGTAAATATCGAGGAGCTCAATTGTTGATTGTGTGGTAAGAGTATGTCTAGTTTTGTAAGAAACTGTCTTCTAAAGTGGATGGACCATTTTGCATTCCCACCTGCAAATAAACGAGAGTCCTTGTTTCTCCACATCCTTCACAGCATTTGATGTTGTCAGTGTTCCATATTTAGGCCATTTTAATAGATGTGTAGTGGTATCTTGTTGTTTTAGTTTGCATTTCCCTGGAGATATATCATACGGAGAATCTTTATCTATGCTTATTTTCCATCTGTATATCTTCCTTGGTAAAGTTAAGGTCTTTGGCCTAGTTTTTAATTGGAGTGTTTATTTTCTTACTGTTGAGTTTGTGTTCTCTGTATATTTAGGATAACAGTGCTTTATCAAATGTGTCTTTTGCAAATATTTTCTCCTAGGCTTGTCTTCTAATTCTCTTGATTTTGTCTTTTGCAGAGCAGAAGTTTTTAATTTTAATGAAGACCAGTTTATCAATTCTTTTTTTCATGGATCATGCCTTTAGCATTGTATCTAAAAAGTCATGACCTTACTGAAAGTCATCCAGGTTTTCTCCTGTGTCACCTTCTTGGAGTTTTATAGTTTTGTGTTTTATGTTTAGGTCAGTGATCCACTTTGAGTTAATTTTTGTGAAGGGTGAAAAGTGTATGTCTAAATTCTTTCTAATTTATTTATTTATTTTATTTTTATTGTATGAATGCCCACTTGTTCCAGCACCTTTTGTTTAAAGGACTATCTTTGCTCCATTGTATTGTCCTTGCTCATTTGTCAAAGATCAGTTGACTATATTTATGGGGGTCTATTTCTGGGCTCTCTATTCTGTTCCATTTATCTAGTTGTCTATTCTTTCACCAATATCACACTCTTGATTACTATACTTTATAGCAAGTCTTGAAATCAAGTACTGTCAATCTTCTAACTTTATTCTTCTTCTATGCTGTGTTGGCTATTCTGGGCCTTTTGCCTCTCCATGTAAATTTTAGAATCAGTTTGTTGATGTTCACAGAATAACTTGCTGGGATTTTGATTGGGACTACATTAAATCTGTGGATCTAGTTTGGAAAAACTGACATCTTGACAATATTGAGTCTTCCTATCCATGCGTGAGGAATATCTCTCCATTTATCTAGTTCTTCTTGGATTTTTTCATTAGCATTTTATAGTTTTCCTCATGTAGATCTTGCACATATTTTTTAGATTTATAGTTTAGTTTTTGGGGTGCTAATGTAAATGGTATTGTGTTTTTAATTTCAAATTCCACTTGTTCATTGCTGATATGTAGGAAAGAAATTGACTTTTGTATATTAATCTTATATTCTGCATCCTTGCTTTAATCACTTATTAGTTCCAGGAGTTTGTTTGTTCGTTTTTGCAAATTCTTTCAGATTTTCTACATAGATGATCATGTCAACTGCAAACAAAGACAATTTAACTTCTTCCTTCCAATCTGTATATGTTTTCTTTCCTTTTCTTGACTTATTGCATTAGCAAAGATTTCTGGTATGATGCTTAAAAAAAGTGGCAAAAGGAGACTTCCTTTCCTTGTACCTGATCTTAGTGGGAAAGCTTCAAGTTCTTCACCATTAAGTATATTAACTTTGGTTTTTTTGTAGATATTCTTAATCAAGTTGAGGAAATTCCCCTCTATTCCTAGTTTACCGAGTTTTTAACATGAATGAATGTTGGATTTTGTCAAATGCTCTTTTTGCACCTATTGATATGATCTTGTGATTTTTCACTTTTAGCCTATTGATGTGACAGATTACATTAATTGATTTTTGAATGTTAAACCAGACTTGCATACTGGGAATAAATTCCACGTGGTTGTAGTGTATAAATCTTTTATAGATTGTTGGATTTTATTTACTAATATTTTGTTGAGAATTTTTGCATCTATGTTCATCAGAAATATTGGTCTGTTGTTTTCTATTCTTGTGATGTCTTTATCTGGCTTTGGTAACAGGGTAATACTGGCCCCATAGAATGAGTTAGGAAATATTCCCTCTGCTTCTATCCTATGAAAGAGATTGTATAGAATTGGTATAATTTCTTTCTTAAAGGTTTGGTATGAAATTCACCAGCAAACTTATCTGGGCCTTGTGTTTTCTGTTTTGAAATGTTATTAACTATTGATTAAATTTATTTAATAGATATAGGCCTATTCAGATTGTGTATTTCTTCTTGTGTGAGTTTCAGCAGATTTTGTCTTGAAAGGATTCTGTCCATTTCATCTAGATTATCAAATTTGTGGGCATAGAGTTGTTCATAGTATTCCTTTATTATAGTTTAATTTCCATGGGATCTGTAATGATGTTCCCTCTTTCATTTCTGATATTAGTAATTTGTGTCCTCTCTTTTTTTCCCTTAATGAACCTGTCTAAAGGCTTATCAATTTTATTGATCTTTTCAAATAGCCAGTTTTTGGTTTCATTAAATTATCTCTATTGATTTCTTGTTTTCAATTTCCTTGACTTCTCCTCTAGCCTTATTATTTCTTATCTTCTGCTTACTTTGGATTTAATTTGCTCTCCTTTTCTAGTTTCCTAAGGTGGAAGCTTAGATGATTGATTTGGACCTTTCTTCTTTTCAAACAGGTGCATTCAGTGCTAAAAATTTCCCTCTAAGCACTGCTTTAGCTCCGTTTCACAAATTTTGATATCTTGTGTTTTTATTTTAATTTAGTTCAAAATGTTTTTAAATTTCTATTGAGATTTCTTCTTTGACCTGCATGTTATTTCGAAGTGTGTTTTTTGATCTCCACTTATTTGGGGACTTTCCAGTTTATCTTTCTGTTATTGATTTCTAGTTTAATTCCATTGTGATCTCAGGGCAGACATTGAATGATTTCTATTCTTTGAAATTTGTTAAGTGCATTTTATGACCCAGAATGTGGTATATCTTGGTGAATGTTCCACGTGAGTTTGGGAGGAATGTGTATTTGGCTATTGTTGGATGACGTACTCTATAGATGTCAATTATATTCAATTGATTGATGGTGTTGATTCAACTATGTCCTTACTAACTTTCTGCCTGCTGGATCTGTTTCTGATAGAGGGGTGTTGAAGTCTTCAGCAATGGTAGTGTATTCATCTATTTCTCTTCACAATTCTATTTGTTTTTGTCTCACATAGTTTGACACTCTGTTAACGCATACATGTTGAGGATTGTTATGTCTTCTTAGAGAACTGACCACTCTATTACTATAAATGCCCTTCTTTATAACCTGATAACTCTTTGCTTTGAAGTCTGCTCTGACTGAAATTAATATAGCTACTCCTGCTTTCTTTTGATTCGTGTTAGCATTATATATTTTTCTTTATCCACTTACTTTTAATCTATATACGTTTTTATATTTAAAGTGAGTTTCTTGTAGACAACGTATAGTTGTAGACTACATAAAGTTGATCTACTCTGATAATCTTTGTCTTTCAATTGGTGCACTTAGACCATTGACGTTCAAAGTGTTTGTTAACATAGCTGAATTAATATTTACCATATTTGTTAGTTTTCTGTTTGTTGCCTTGTTCTTTGTTCCTATTTTTGTCTTGCATTCTTTTCTGTCTTTTGTGGTTTTAATTAAGAATTTTATATGATTCTATTTTCTTTGCTTTCTTAGTATAATGGTTATACTTCTTCTTATACTCTTATCAGTGATTACCCTAGAGTTTGCATTACACATTTACAGCTAATCCAAGTCCACTTTCACATAATACTATACCACTTCACAGGTAGTGTGAGTACCTTATAATAACAAAATAATCCTATTTCCTCCCTTCCACTCCTTGTATCATTGCTGTCATTCATTTCACTTACATATAAGGAGATATATAAGATATATACATAACCTTACATAATTAAATACATTGTTGGTGTTACTATTTTGAACATACTGTCATCTCTTAGATAAATGAAGAATAAGAGGGGTCCACCCAGTGACACAGCGGTTAAGTTCACAAGTTCTGCTTAGTGGCCCGGGGTTCGCAGGCTCGGATCCCGGGTGCTGACATGGCACCACTTGGCAAGCCATGCTGTGGTAGGTATCCCACATATAAAGTAGAGGAAGACG